ATTTGCCCTCCTCCAATCTGTGGGGGCTTCCCCTGTTCTCCAAGAATTCTCAAAGATTATTGCCAATGGTTCTGAAATTGTATTCTCTGAAATTGCTTCTGCCAGTTCTTTTAATATCCTTGGATGTAATTCGTCTGGCCCAGGAGATTTAAACTCATCCAAGCTAGCCAGGTAATCCTGTACTACTTCTTTACTTATTCTGTGCTGCATTTCCCCCACTACATCATCTGCAAACTGAGGGGGGAAAAGATGTTGAATAGTTCTGCCTTTTCCCTGTCCCCTGTTAATAATTGGCCATCATCACCATGCAGAGACCCTATCGTTTCCTTCTTTTTCCTTTTACTGCTGACATAACTTTAAAAAATCCCTTTTTATTATCTTTAATTTCTCTAGCAAGCCTAAGTTCATGCTGTGCTTTAGCTTTTCTTACCACTACCCTTACATGTACTGGCTATTCCCTTGTATTCCTCGTTGGTGCTTTCCCCATTTTTCCATTTCTTGTACATTTTTTTTTACACTTAGCTGAATTGAAAGTTCTTTAGTCAACCATTCTGGTTTCTTTAGACATCTCCCATTTTTCCTTCTTGTTGGAACAGCTCGTTTTGTTTGTTTCCCATGCTCTGTGCATTGGTGTAGAGACATTTAAGACTATGTGTTCTTCCTACAAGCCCTTTACTAAAGTTCTTTTTCCTCCCACTGTTGGGCTGCCATACTACTTGCCCTACTCTTTCTACAATGTTTTGGCTATTCACCACAGCCCTTTCTGGGTTCCTATCCTCAAGAAAATTGTCACCCTTCTCTTGAGAATTCAATTTAAAGCCCTTATTATCAGATTAGTGAGCCTGTGAGCAAAAACATTCCTTCCAGCAGTACTAAGGTGCACCCCATCCCTTCCCAGTAGACCATCTGCATGGAAATGCAAACCATGGTCAAAGAAACCAAAGTGTTCCTGGTGGCACCATCAGCAGAGCCAGGTATTCACCTCTGTTATTCTTCTCTCCCTTTGTAGGCCACATCCTTCAAGAGGGAGGAGAGATGAAATAATGACCTGCATCCCCAGGTCCTTCAGTTTCCTATCCATATCTTCATAATCCTTTGTGATATTCTGAAAAGTGTGTTTTGCAGTATCATTGGTCCCCACGTGGACCAAAAGGAAGAGGTAAGAGTCAGTGGGCTTGATGAGTCTTGTCAGTCTCTCTGTTATATCGCAAATTTTGGCTCCAGGTAGACAGTACATCTCTCGGTTCATCTTGTCAGGCTTGCACATTATTGAGTTTCCCCTTGTTGAACCCAAAGAGGTAGGGTCCCAATGACGGTCTCTCTGCTACCACACTGCCTGCCTGCCTGAGGCCCCACTAGTTCACTATACCATCTGCCTGCCTGTCTCCCTGCCTGTCCAACTGTCTGCCTGTCTGTCAGCCTTCCTAGGCCAAAACCTGCACTCAAAGCCTATTTCTTGTCTCCTCGGACCAAATTCTGAAGTCAAGCAGCGTATTTCTGGCCTCCTCAGGACAAACTTGCATTTAATACCACCAATGTAAAAAAGAAGACTGCCTGTCCCAATGTCCCTCCCCATGCTACCCCAAGAAGAATCTGATTGGTACCTGAGGTCCCTGAATTCTATATTTGTGGCAGGGCTATACCAAACCTGGAGGCCCAATGCCTTGGTGAAATGAGCAGACCCTACCTGGAAGCCCAACGTCTTGGTGGCAGGTTGGTACCCTACCTGGAAGTCTAATGCCACATTTTAGGTATGTAATTAGTTCTTTTGGAAGGCTTGTGTTCAGTGCCTTCTTGTGGCAAAACCAACCTTGATAAACACCTTAGTGCCAGGTTTTCTCCTCTGCCTGCTATTCCAATGAATCTCACACTCTCTGTCCCACATGCATGTTGCAGACTGCTGTCACTGTGCCACCAATGTGAAAAGGAAGCCTGATTCCCCCAATGTCTTTCCCCACACTATCCTAAGAATAATCATATTGATACCTGAGATGCCTGAATCCCACATCTTGGAAGATTTTGCCTGTCAGCCAGAAACGATCAGCCACTGAAACACCCTGAAGACCTCATATTGGCCAAGATGCCAAACACCTCTAATCCAGCTGGACATGAAACCCTACCTCAATGCCAAAGACCTCAGTCCCTGTTGGGGGCCCATGTTACCAGAATGCTAAACGTCTCTGATCCTGCTGGGAGAAAACTCCCACTCGACTCCAAATGCCTCTGATGCCACTTAGGACAAACCCTGCCAAGATGCCAAACGCCTCTGATGCTGCTGGGGACAAAACTTACATTGATGCCAAACACCTCCCTGCCTCCTTGGGGCAAACCCTGCCAAGATGCCAAACACCTCTGAAGCTGCAAGAGGCAATCCCTACCTTGATGCCAAGTGCCTCAGTGCCTGCTGGTGGTCCATGAGAAATGTCTCTGATCCTGTTTGGGGCAAATTCCGTCAAGATGCCAAATGCCTCTGATCCTGCTTGGGACACAACCCTAACTAGATGCCAAATGCCTCTGATGCTGCTAGGGGCAAACCCTGCTAAGATGTCAAATGCTTCTGATGTTGTTGGGGGCAAATCCTACCTTGATGCCGCCTCTGATCCTGCTGGAGGCAAACCCTGCCTAGATGCCAAATGCATCAGTGTCTGATGTAGGCTCAAGCTACCAATATGCCAAATGTTTCTGATCCTACTGGGAGCAAAGCCTACCTTGATCCCAAATTACTGTGGTGCTATTTGTGACAAACCCTGCTAATATGTCAAGCACCTCTGATCCTACCTGGGGCAAAACCTGCCAACATGACAAATACGCCTCTGGTCCTGCTGGGGCAACCCCTTCCTTGATCCCAAATCCCTCTAATGCTGTTTTGGACAATGAAGGATAATGTAAAATGCCTCTGATCCTGCTTGGGGAAAACCCTGCCAAGATGTCAAATGTCTCTGGTGCTGCTGGAGGTAAACCCTACCTCAGTGTGAAACACCTCTTTGCCTGCTGGGGGCCTATGCTGCCTAAATGCCAAACATCTCAGTGCTTGCTGGTGGCCAATGCTGCCAATATGCCAAACACCTCTGATTTTACTGGGAACAAAGTCTACCTTGATGCCAGATGTTGCTAATGCTGCTTGGGACAAAAACCTACCTTGATGCCAAATGTCTCTGACCCTGCTGGAGGCAAATCCTACCCACATGTAAAATGCCTCAGTGCCTGGGACCAATGCTGCCAATATTCCAAACACCTCTGATCCTACTTGGGGCAAAACCCTGCCAAGATGATGATGATGATGATAACAACAACCTTTGTTGTCAATGCACAACATATGTGCAGTGAAATTAAATAAGCCTCCATTGGTACAACCACACAAAGCACACAAAGATGCCAAATGCCTCTGATCCGGCTGGGGGCAAACCCTACGTATATGCCTAACCCCTCAGTGGCTGCTGAGGGCACACCCTACTTGAATGTCAAACGCCTCAGTGCCTGCTGGTGGCCCATTCTGCCAATATGCCAAACACCTCTGATGCTGCTAGGGGCAAACCCTACCTCAATGCTAAACACCTCTGATGCTACTGGGTGCAAACACAACCTTAATGCCAAATGCTTATGATGCTGCTGGGAACAAACCCTGCCAAGATGCCAAACACCTATAAACTGCTGGTGGCAAACCCCACTTCGATTGCAAATGCCTCAGTGGCTGCTGGGGGCAAACCAAACTATCTAAATGCCATCCTCTTCTGTGCATGGTGGCAAACTTTGCCAGCTGGCTCTGTTACTTTCATGGGGGGACCCACTTTGTGGGTGAACAACTTAGATGTCCAAAACCCAATCTTCACCAAAATTGTAAGGCCTTTAGCCACCCCGAGTAGACATGGTCTAGAGGGGCGGGGTATAAATTTAATAAATAAATAAATAAAATAAATAAAGATCTACAAAGCTTCTGTGTGATTTTGGATTATCTATATTCCAGGGTGGAATTTTCCTAGGGTGCCCAGAACCCAAACTTCACCAAACATGCAGGGCTTATAGAAAAGAGTCTGAGGAAGCCTCTCTGTGAATTAGGTGACTCTAGGTGCCTGGGGACCAATTTTATAACATTTTAAGTTTAAGACAAATCAACAAATTAATTCATTGATTCCTCCAGGAATATTTGTAAATTTGTATTCGTCAATTTGGCCACCTTGATGAATTACGAATCATGATGAATCACCATTTTCAAAAAATTGTCTCCATCTCTAGTCAGCATCATATTTGAGTTTGCACAGTGTAAATCCTGAATTGCAAAAGTGGTGCGTGTGTGTTTGGCGGCTGTATGTCACATGCTGAAACATATGCATTTGAGTCAGCATTCTGTTGCACACTTGGACAGCCTAAAAATTATTAAGAATGCTTTCACAATGTTTCTTGTTCACATATTTTGCAGTAGGATCCTGTTCTTCTTGTGCTACTATGAATTAGAATATGTGGGCTACACATATTAGAGCTTTCCCTTCACTTAGCACTACAACATGTTTCCAGAAAAAACACAATACAAAGGAAGAAATGGGGTAGCAAATCTAATGGCAGCAAATGTGGGAGGGGAAAAATAGTAATAAATGCCTTGAGATCACTCATCGAAGTCCAATCTCCTATGAATAAGTTTTTTACTATTTTCTCTTCAAAATCAGCAGAAACTATCTTCAGACTATCCTCACCTATGTTGTCCAATTTCTTATCAATCTGAGTTATTTTCTGAGGATAAGTTCTACAAACTACCTTCCCACTTCCCAATTTTGACTTATAATAATGGGGTATAATTTCTCCAAGCTCTAAGACAGATCCACGACTGGGGCCCAGTAACACATTCAGTTGAACTGCATAGGGACTTTTTTTAGCCTACTGAACTTGAAGTCTTGGCATCCAGATTGTAATTGTTTTGACAAACCTAAGCTAAAGTACTACATTATATAAGGAAATCTTCAGAAAGGCAGAAACAGAGGAACATACAAGAAGCTAGAAGAACTTACAATAAGAGCAGCCATAGATCTCAATCCTCAGCCCAATCTGACCTTCTTCACTCCAATCCAGAGGAACTATCCGAACATAGCGAGCAACAACTGGATGCTGTAAATCATGCCGCACCACAGTATCCGAATTTATATTTCCAGCAAATGCCTATGAGAAAACACAACAAAATATATTTAATACGTTTAGTATAAGGGCTGTTTAAACATATCAGTTCCCCACTGTGCCTCCATGACAAGGACTGAACTTGATTATCCATAGGTTCCCCTCCAGCTTTGTAGTCCTAAGAATATTAAGAAATCTGCATACTATGCACACAAAAGAACATCTGTAGGGGAGAAGTGTTTTGTGGTGCTTCTCAGACATGTATTTTTAGTGTAGCATTAGTTGTAAGAAATGAATCTGGGTTTTATTCAGTCAATCAGTCAGTCAGTCAGTCAACCATTCTTGCATTTTAATGTCTCTTAGTGGTGGTTTCACAGGAGATTTCTTGTAACTTACTGTTTTTGTACTAACACAGCATTTGAGCTGGTAGAAAGCAAGTAGGTAGGTTTGTAAACCTTAGCACTGCATCCATCCCCTAAAGAAATAGCAGCCTCTATAGTCTACCTTACTCCACACAACCTGCTCATGCAAATCAAATCAAAAGAACTTATTTTGGTTGATGCTCCAATAAGTAGAAGAATCAACAAACTATAGTTGTGCTGTTCACAAAAGGGAAAAAGTGAACTGAAATATTAAATCTTCTGTTTGTGTTGGTAAATTCTACACATCAGTTCACATCATCATATCTTTACATGACAGGTCCAGCAGAATTTGTTGACTCCAGCAGTAGCCCAGTTGTTCTTGACTCTCACAATGTTCTTCATAAGCTCTGATAAGCAATACATTATTGTATTGCTAGAGTGGTCCTATGTGATTCAGATAGGCAGGATATAAATTAAATAAATAAAAAATAAAATAAAATAAATTATGTGGCCTACAAGGATGTCCAGTTACACACGTTTTTTTCACATTTTGCACCTCTTTGGTAGCCGTTCTAGACCTTTCACACACCCATTTACTCCACCACAAACCAATCCACAGCTTCAAGTTTCATAATTTTTTAAATGGGAAATGGTTATTTTATTTAACTGCAATGATCTTTGAATATGTTCTTCTGCTAATGCTTATGCAATATAAACTGATTTCTAATGACACTCTATTTTTCTAATAAAAATTAATATTAAAAATTCTTACAAAGGGACTGGTCTCTTGAACAGCAGGGTCTGGCTAAGTCTAGGAGTGGAGAGGGCCACAAACTATCTGTCATTTAATAGTCCTACCTAACTGAGCTGTTGTGAGTTCTAAGGAATCACAAAGTCCATGTGCCTGTACTTACAAAGTACTGAGTAAGTGCAAAGTGTTCTTTTTATGTCAGACTTTTTCAAAGGGCTTATGCTACACACTGCTGAGGTCTTGGGACTAGCCCCAGCGCAAAGGTGGTAGATAAGTGCCAATCAAACTCTCTGGCTGAATGCCCAGTGGCCCTTTAGGGGGTCTGGTGCATCACACTCAGCCACCCACCCAGTAGTAAGAATGAGAGCGGTGCAGGTGGTTTTTTTGCCCATCTTATTCTTACTTACAAGGGCAGTCAGGGACATTAATGTTAGGTAAGCACATTTAAAATAGTCATGACTGTGGAAAACAGGATAGGTTCAGGTGAGTTCTATGGGGGCACCCAATGAGTGCAAGACATCCCTAGTCTCAGAATTGCATTAACAGAGGTGTAGCAGAGGGCAGGGGAAGCAGAGGGGCCCCAGGATCTTGAGGCTCGGGTGGTTGGCGGCCTTGGGGATGGCCAAAAGTGTGCTGTACAATAGGACAGTGTGCTTGCGGAATAGGAACTCACTGGGTAGAAGTCTGGACTGGAAGGTCAGAGTTTGCTTCGGTTCCAGATCTGTTTGTACTATGGTAGGCCCCCTTCTGAAAGGGGACGTTTGAGTTTTAAAGAGTTAATAAAGTTGTGGCCCTAGTTTAACCCCATTCTTCTGTGTCTCATCTCATTATTCCAGGCTGGGCAGGCAAAGGCAAAAGCTTACAAAAAAGCATTTATTTAAAAAATATACATGAAAGTATATTAACACTTCTATGTGTGGGGAAAAACAATCTATACCAAATTGGGATGAGGTGAGCTTCAAAGTGGAGATATTTTATAAGATCAGACTTGACAATGTGTCCATTTATGTGTTACTCTGTCCACATGACTCTGCTTTATCCCATTTTTACATTAATGTGACTATAAAAGAAATCACATACACAATCTTTTCATTTAAATAAGTAATTTATCTCAAAATACACTTTATACATGTACTGTATTTTCTGTCTTGCATTGGGAACATTCCTGAAATACAAAAGCGAGCAAATAATTAAGTTCTGATTCACATTTTAGGGGGATCAGGTCTGTCGGAGTGGAATTCATGAAGACCAAATTCCTTCCCAACCCATAATCAGCCCCCTACTCCAGCTGTCAATTTATGTCCCTAGCATATTGCTGAAACTATTTTATAATGACTCCAGCACCCATTAAGGCCAACAATGATGATATAATAATGCAAAAGAGTTTTACTGCAATTAATGAAAGTGCAGTGGAATCATTAACAGCTGATAAATCATTGTCACGATCCTCATGTCGCCCCGATTGTTTCACCAAACTAAGAGCTCATGCTACGTGTCCTTCACCTGCCACCAGTCGATTACATCAACATTGTTTAATATTAATAATATAGGTCCAGGCAATGTGTCATTTTTTTAAAAAAAGAACCAAACAGAAATTATTGTTACAGATGATAGTTCAAGCAATGTTGTTAACTCTTAACAAACATCCTCCTTCATCCACTCTCAACCACCACTCTCCCACCCAAACTCCTAAACTCTCAATCTCCCTCAACTCAAACTCCTCCTCCTGCTGCTGAGTCTCATATCTCGTGACTCTGCTCCTCCAGCATTCCCATTGGTCTATGGAGATATCACATTACTATTCATGACCTGGGCAGATGCCACAATTATTTTCTGAGAACTATGGTCAATTAGGCAGTTTCATACAGGAACTGTAGCACTTCAGTCTCTCACTGGCAGATGACTCAATGCAGTTTGATGCAACCAAAGATGTCAGTGGATTCAACTGAACTTGCTTCCAAGAAGAAGCCCAATGTTACAATCTATGGCAATATTTCCCAAACCTGAGTTGCCAAAAACTATAGTCCACAGAACTGGAAATTTCTGGGAGTTCACTGCAATATTATTCTATGTTTATAGGCAAGAGATACTGAACATCCTTCACAATATTGTGTTGTGTTTCTCTCAGTCCTTCTTACATTCTCATTGCATACTTGGTTTGTGTTGGGTAGTGAGGCATAGGTTTTTTTTTCTTTTCACAATTGAACTTGTGCATATTTTTCACATTTTAAAAATATTTTAAAATATATTTTAAGCATTTCCAATGTATACATTTTTGTACACATTGTCCCACTGTTTGTGTTTATGTGGATTTCAATTGTGATTTAATTTTAGTAATTAACACTTTAGAAAACTTACATATCTGTTGTCTTCATTTTCCTAAAACACTTGTAAATTTTTGCAGGATGATTTTCAGACAGTTTGTCACTGTTCTATGATACTTGCCAACAGCAATGGCCATTGCACTGTTTTTCTTTTCTCTCTTATGTTTTCTTCTCTGTTGCAACTTGCAAGCGATAGCAGTAGCAGTGACAGTGGTAGCAATTTCTGTTTTGTTCATTTACAAAATGTGTAAAATTCATACAGGGGATTTGGGAGGGCACACCATTTTATTGATTGATTGATTGATTGATTAAATTTATTCCCCACCCATCTAGACCAAAGTCTACTTTTTAAAAGAAAAAACACATAATAAGGCTCATCCAGTTACAAAATGAAAGGCATGAACCAGCAAGGCAAAAAACAAAACAAAACAGAAAACAACAACAATGAGCTCAAACTTTAAAGTGCTTAGAGGGGAAAAAAACTGAGAAATGTTTTGTTGCTTTTTGCAGTGCCAAATAAAATTCTCATCTTCTTTGGGAAGGCAAATTTTAAAGTTGGTGCACAACCTCAGAGAAAGCTAGCTGCTTTCTAAATTTGCTTTGTAACTCTCATATGGATATTACCTTGAGAACAGGAAATTTTAATGCACAATTAAGATAATATGACAGAAAGTGTTCCTTTGGCCAGAATATTATTGGTACTGCAACTGAAGGAGATGCACTGAATCAGTGGGGTTTGCAAAAGTGTTGACTTATTCAACAATTGATTCAATGAATCTACTCCAGGAGCAACTAGTACTAGGATTTAAGTGTTTGTCTTTAAAGTTGGTAAACAGCACATTGAAATAGGCAGCTATTGCAATTAATGAAAAAATGTATAATACAGCTCAAGTGAGATAATCTACAGTGGGGTCTTGACTTGAGAACTTAATCCATATTGGAAGGCAGTTCTCAAATCAAAAAGTTCGCAGGTCAAATCTGCATTTCCCATAGGAATGCATTGAGAACCATTTGATCCGTATCTGCTCTTTTCCGTCCATAGAAATTAATAGGAAGCTGCTATTCCTCCTTCAACCACTAGAGGGGGATATTTTGTTTCTTTTTTTCTTGGGTCAAGAAAGGTTCAGGGAAGGCAGGGAAAATACAGTCCAGGCAGTACAGTGGACCCTTGACTTACAGAATTAATCCGTATTGGAACGGTGGCTGCAGGTCAAAAAGTCTGTAGGTCAAGTCTCCATTGAGCTACAGTGCATTGAAAACCAATTAATCCCATAACAGGCTGTTTTTGTTCCATTTTGGTTTTGTTCTGGTCTATAAGTCAAATCTCAGTCTGCAAGTCAAACCTAAATTTTGCGGCCAGAGAAGTCTGTAATTCAAAAAGTCTGTAAGTCAAGCCGTCTGTAAGTCAAGGGTCCACTGTAGTCTGAATTCTAATGGCCAAATTCAGCACTAGCTAAAACTTCCAAAATGTTCTTAAAGACAGTCCCACATAAAATGCATCAGAGGAATCCAAACTGAGAATGAATCATCATGACAATTTTACCGATTTCCAGAAAATACTACAACTGTTGAACCAGTTGATCTAAGATGCATCAAGCCACTAAATCT